GCTCATAACTTTGTTAAATCAAGTCGGATTTCGCTGATTTTGGTGTCATTCGACTCAGCTCGAGGAGCTCTTTCGAATGAGCTATCATTTAAAAAATCGAATTTTTCACCCCAAAATTGTGCTTACTCCCCCTATGGTTTTTCGGTTTTCAAGGACCTATATCTTGGCTCGTAGGCATTTCCGCAAAAAAAGAATGGTACCATTTGACTCAGCTCGCCGAGACGAATCGAATGGTATATAATTTGACCCGTTTCTGAGTGGGCCACCGGCTAAAGTACAGCCTTTATCTTTCTATCTTAGCGAGGAAAAAAGGTTTTCTCTTGACAAAAATTAAGATTTACGGATTTCATGATTAAGTTTCACGAGTACTAGTACAAATTATGGTACGAGCTTCCAAAATGGCCACCAACACTGAACCTACTATATTTAGTAGCTCCAAGACGTCTAGTGATAAAAAAATTAACTCGCAAACTCTATTTTAGAAAATTAACTCTTTACACCATAAAATAATTTTACCTCCTTTGTAAATAATGCCTGCCCAATTTTGCTTAACATTTTGGCCAAAATTTTAGATTTCTTAATCGACAATAAAAGGGCAATTTTAAATAATTTTTTAGAAATAATTATTTAAATTTTATTGACTGCTATGTACGCGGTGAATAAAAAGTGTGTTTAAACGTGCATCCTTAACGAGAGTCGATGTGACAACAATCAGTTGTAGATTTAATTATTGTAAAATACAATTCATGTATAAAATGTTGAAATGGAGGCTAGATGGAAACCGGACTTTAGTCTAGAAAAAAAATCATTGAAAATTTCCCCCCTTAATCCCTCCTAGTTCCTCTTTACCTCCTTTAAATCCCACGATTATACTTGTAAAGAAATAAAATGTAAAAAATTTTGTTGATCAAAAAGTTGTAGGTCTTCAGGGTAAATAGGTCTTCAGGGTGTAGGTCTTGGGGGTGTAGGTCTTCAGGGTTGACCCCGTTTACAGTCGTGAAAATTATTTTGAACGAGATCTAGTGCTCTATAACCTATCACTTTTTGCTTTTTTAACATACTCAAAAACTAAAAAAATTTTATCCCAAAATTTGAATATATGCAAAATATCTTTTAAAGATAAATTTTTGTATGAACTTGTATCTAATTGGCTCTTGTTCAGTTTCCTTGTCTTGTAAATTTTTTTGGGATTGGAGCATTATATTGGATTTTTTGTAACAAGATTGACACCCTCCTATTTTGGCTGGTCAAAATAAAATTGAAAAAGAGCCAATAAATATAAAAAAATCGTGATAATTAAAAAAATTGTAATCACGTTTAAAATATCTAATAAAGCCGAACACGAATTTAGGATACTCTTAAAATTAAATCACCTCATTTTAAATCGATTTCTCAGTTGCAATTAAATCCTAATTTGTGTTCGACTGTAGCTTAATTTTTAAATTGTTCGAAAAGTAAAAAATAATTTTATTTTGTTTTGATTTTTTATCTTTTTTTGTTGTTTTTTCTGTTTTTGTACAGGGTGACAAAAATGTAACCGGGCACTTTTCTATCCTTTATAACTTTTTTTGTTCATATCATTTTTAGATAATTCTAAGTTTATTTTGTAGCCCATTTATTTATACACCATATCAAAATTTTCCCTCCAAAATTATATTTTCTGTATCTTAGAAAGGAGAAGTCCAAATGGGATGATTTCAACAATTATAGATAAGACTGCTCTAGATGCCAAAAAATTTTTGTGTAATTCCTGCAATCTATTCTAATGTTATAGACAAAATGTCTAAAGAAAGGTGCGACCTGGAGCAATAATTTTTCTCACTTTCCTTGAAACTTATCTCGAAGTAGAATAAGGAAAATTCTAACAGATTTATAGTATATCTTATTCTCCATTATTTCTCTATAATTTCATCATTATTTGATCTCATTATTTTCAATTTGAATAAAGTTATGCCAAAAATAAAGTGCCCGGTTACTTTTTTGTCACCCTGTATAATGAACTCTTTGAGTTTTTAATTTTTTGGATAATATGTATACTTCGAAATGTTTGTAAATTTTTTTTTGTTTTTTGCATTTGGTAAAATTTCGGTATACGACACAGACGCCGATTAAGTCGATTGATATGTCATTCGAAAGAGCTCGTCAAGTTTGGTCAAGCAAAGATTTAGTTGGCCATAACTTTGTTCATAATCATCCAATCGAGCTGGTTTTCGTGTCATTCGACTCGCTCGTCGAGCTCTTTCGAATGTCATATCACTCGACCTAATCGGCGTCTGTGTCTCGTATACCGAAATTTTTCCATGCATTTTTGTGTTTTTTTGTATTTTTTGTGTTTTGTTGTGTTTTTTTTGTATTTTTTGTGTTTTGTTGTGTTTTTTTGTATTTTTTGTGTTTTGTTGTGTTTTTTTGTGTTTTTTTGTATTTTTTGTGTTTTGTTGTGTTTTTTGTATTTTTTGTGTTTTGTGTTTTTTTGTATTTTTTGTGTTTTGTTGTGTTTTTGTATTTTTTGTGTTTTGTTGTGTTTTTTTTGTATTTTTTGTGTTTTGTTGTGTTTTTTTGTATTTTTTGTGTTTTGTTGTGTTTTTTTGTATTTTTTGTGTTTTGTTGTGTTTTTTTGTATTTTTTGTGTTTTGTTGTGTTTTTTTTTGTATTTTTTGTGTTTTGTTGTGTTTTTTTGTATTTTTTGTGTTTTGTTGTGTTTTTTTGTATTTTTTGTGTTTTGTTGTGTTTTTTTGTATTTTTTGTGTTTTGTTGTGTTTTTTGTATTTTTTGTGTTTTGTTGTGTTTTTTTGTATTTTCTTTTTAAATTTCCATTCTTTTAAATAAAAAATATCATAACTTTACATTTTTCCAAACTCTAATAAATCTTCAATGAACATGTTCTGCAATAAGATAAAATCCTAAAGCATAAACAGCAAAAAGAGACAAAATAATAATCCAAGCAATCCAAACTCCACAATTCCATTCAACATAACGTTTTTTTCGAATATTGTTTTGACTTCCAGTTACGTTGTTTAAAATATTGTTAAGACATCCTTGATTTTTAAAAAATTCCAAATTGTTTTTCTTGTCATCCTTGTGGAAACTTATTGTGTTTTTACATGCTCCTCTATTGCAGAAAATACCTAAAACAGTTGTAGTTTTTTAGATTTATTTCGACTCTTTACAGGACACGTTAAACAGAGAGTTGCACCTCGACCCAGTTCCCGAACGATTTTTTCACAATTCTCCCGACCTGAACCCCACCCGGAAAAAGTTTCGGGATATTTTAATGAACTAATTCTGAAAATTAGAAATGTTTTATAGGTGCCCTGTAGTTTCGTCAGAGGACATTTTCGTCAGAATCAGTTTCGTCAGAGGCCTTTTTCGTCAGAAAACAGTTTCGTCAGAGGCCTTTTTCGTCAGAAAACAGTTTCGTCAGAGGGTTGTTTCGTCAGAGGTTAGTTTCGTCAGAGGACATTTTCGTCAGAATCAGTTTCGTCAGAGGTCTTTTTCGTCAGAAAACAGTTTCGTCAGAGGGTTGTTTCGTCAGAGGTTAGTTTCGTCAGAGGACATTTTCGTAAGAATCAGTTTCGTCAGAGGCCTTTTTCGTCAAATTAGTTTCGTCAGAGGCCTTTTTCGTCAGAAAACAGTTTCGTCAGAGGGTTGTTTCGTCAGAGGTTAGTTTCGTCAGAAGTCCTTTTCGTCAGTAAGGCTCCCTTTTTAAAAATCTAATTACACGGCGTTTTTGACTTATACTAGGTTTTTTGTTTCTGGATCGATTTGAACAAATGAGGTGTCATTCGAAGGAGCTCTAAGAACTGAGTCGAATTAGTTGTGAAAGAAGTTAATCAGACATTCCTGGGCCGAGTTTCAGACTACTGAATATTGAAAAATGGTGTAGTGAAGCTCAGTTCGCCGAACCGATTCAACTCGTCGAGCTGGGTCGGTTGAGCTATCATTTATAAAATATAATTTTTCATTCCAAAAATCAGCTTTTAGAGCTCCTTCGAATGACACCTCATTTGTTCAAATCGATCCAGAAACAAAAACCTAATATAAGTCAAAAACGCCGTGTAATTAGATTTTTAAAAAGGGAGCCTTACTGACGAAAAGGACTTCTGACGAAACAACCCTCTGACGAAACTGTTCTCTGACGAAAAAGGTCTCTGACGAAACTGATTCTGACGAAAATGTCCTCTGACGAAACTAACCTCTGACGAAACTACCGGACACGGTTTTTTATCACATCTTTCCTAAAAAATATATGTAGGTTCAAAGTAATATTTTGGAGTTCCTTGATATTGATCAGTAGGGTCCTGATTATTATCGAAATAAAATCGCAAAATATGGCCATAAAATAAATATTGAAATAAATTATAGTTTATTTAGTGCAATAATCAAGAAAAAAGTTGAAATTTAACAAAAAACTGTTTTTGTTGCTTTTATAACTATTTTTACGCTAATAAGGAGATTCTCGTTATTATAAAGCTGAAAATTGACTTAACTAGGTCCCCCATGGTTCTTTAATTTTATCTGTATCTCGGCTCAAATTTGTTTCTGTGAACTAAAACTTTCCAAAAAATAAAGTTTTCTGGCTTGTTTGGTACCAATGTTTCGACTAAATTTTTTATTCCCCCAAATTTCCCCTTAAAGAAATTTCTCCTCTCCGCCTCCCCCCAATTTTTAAAAAATAACCTTTATTCATTTCTTTAATATTTCGGCGGAAACGGTATTGTCCATATTGAGGCATTCCTTCAGCAATAGCAATATTGATTTCACTATACGGATCATTTCGTTCTTCCAGGCGATATTGATGGGAACGTTCTAACGGTTCAAGTGGAAAATTTTGTTGTTGAGGAATTGAAGGTGAATTTTGTCTTCGACGAAAGAAATTTTGAAAATCATCAATTTCGGGGAATTGACATGTTAAACCCCCTAAATGAATTATTGCGAAAAATGAAAGTGCAGCAGCAGCCAGACCACTAACGAGTGTATGTACAATAAACGCATCAGCCCTTTTACCAAAACTTGTATGACGTTTCTTTCGAAACAGCTGAGATAGATTAGTTTTGAAAGGATTCTGAAATTAGATTTATTGTAGATTTTTATGAAATAAAGTGGGAGTAGTTAACCACCGGTCACCGTCGCGGCTTGTAATCCCTTGTAAACATGTACCTTTACATCAGTGTCGTGGGGGTGGAGGGGTCCGACAAAACCAAAAGGAAGAGGGCAGGTCGGGAATGCGCGGCAAAAAATCAAAAGGTAGTGGGCATATCGGCACTGTCGCGGGTCAGACAAAAAAAAAGACTGGTAAAAACCAAAAGGAAGAGGGCATGTCGGGAGTCGCGCGGCAAAAAATCAAAAGGTAGTGGGCAGTCGGCACTGTCGCGGGTCAGACAAAAAAAAAGACTGGTAAAAACCAAAAGAGTGGACACAACGGCACTGTCGCGGGTCAGACAAAAAAAATAGTGGGGAAAACCAAAAGGAGTGAACATATCATCAATGTTGTGTGGGAGTTGTAAGAAAAAAGGTTGTATGTAATTTGTAAATTATCATTGTAAATTATCATCGATGTCGTTGTCAATTACAAATTTAATCTTGTCATGTTTTGTGTGTATCTTGTTATGTTTTGTGTAAATTATTTTAAAAAAAGTGTTTTTGAAATAGTTGATTTTAGGGGTAAAAATGCACAATTAAGAAACTTATAAGCATAGTTTAGAGTTTAAAATAGCTGATTTTAGGGGGAAAAGTGCATAATTTAAGTGAAAAAAGTTGCAAAAAAGCATAGTTTGAAGTTTGAAACTGTAGATTTTAGGGGGAAAAGTGCATATTTTGACAAAATAAAATGCAAATTTTAAATTTTTATTAAAATTCATACATTTTGGGTATGTGCGCGTGTTTCAGGGGTGTGCACGTGTTTTATGTATGCGTGTGTGTTTTTAGGGGCGTGTCAGTTTTGATTAATTTTGTAATCCGCTGAAAATCCGAGTATAAAAGACTGGAGATTTTGGATTCTAGTATCATTATTTCAAAATGAACCAAAATTTGTTTTCCCAAATCCTCCCAGAAATAGATTTCAATATCTCTTCGAGTGGGATAACCATGTTAAGTTCCCGTCTTACCACTCCACGATTTATTCCTTATGATCAGTCAGGGAAATGTAAGGAGTGTAAGAGCACAGAGGTCGAGATTGACTTTATTGTGACCAAGGAAGGGGTTACCATCTATTGTAACCGAATTGGATCTGGTACCCGATTTGTTCCGTTCGATACAGTTTATGATTTACCTACCCACTGCTTTTTCAAAATCAAAAATAAGGGAAGAGTATTCAATGTTCCTCATGGAGTACAACCACAACAAATTATTCATCAAAATCCGACGAGAGGGAAAAGGAAGTGCGAGGAATTGTCGTCACCTCCTCAACATGTTTCTCCTACTCCTCCCGTCAATAACTTACCTTCTCCTCCTCGTCATGTTTCCCCTACTCCTTCCGTCAATAACTTATCTTCTCCTCCAAGACATATTTCCCCTGCTGCGACTCCAACAGAATGTCCAAAGGCTATCACCGATACTGCGCGTCCTAATACACCTCCTGATAATGTAGAGTTTGAGAAGGAGCTCCAAGAATTTTATGATAGTTTAATGGCAGCTACGACTGGATTAACTTCAACACCGAAGAAGTTGGAAGAGAAGGTTGAGACAGAAGAGAAAAAGGATGAAACATCGTTGACAAATGTTCCTATATAAACCTTAGTTTTTTCTGTAATGTTTATTTTTTTTTTCGTATTAATATTATGGAATCACAATTATTTACTAATAAAGATTTGTATTTTAAATTACCTTTTGGTATGATTTTGTCTGGTCCAAGCTCAAGTGGTAAGAGTTCATTCCTCTTGAAATTTATAGCAGACTCCCAAGATTTGATCGATCCCAGTCCAAAAAGTGTATTGTATTGTTTTGGAGAGATGAACGATAATATCCCCATCCTTCAAAAATCTGGAGTTAATGTCTATGCAGGAGTACCCCCAGAGGAGCTAATAAAAAGTTATTCAAAACCTTTACTCTTAATTCTAGATGACTTGCTCCTGTCTATAGATGAAAAGTATTTGTCGGAATTGTTCACAAAAAAGTCTCACCATCAAAATTTTGCAATTGTTTTTGTAACCCAAAACCTATTTGAGAAAAAGATTAAGGTTGCCCGTCAAAATGCGCAATATATTGTTTTGATGAGGTCGCCGAATTCTGCACTCTCTGTGAGAAATATTGGAGTACAACTGTTTCCCCGTCAATTGGAATATTTCCTTGATGCGTACAAACAGGCAACCAATGAACCATACGGATACCTACTCATAGACTTGCATGCGTCCTCTGATCCAGCTCTAAGGCTCCGAACCCGCATATTTAAGGACGACGAAGAGAAGATAATTTTCATTTCCAAAAATGTTTAGTCAACTAATTTGTGAAAATGAAGATTTTTTACGCTCTTTAGCGAATTCAAGATCTGAAAGGAGATATCAAAAACTTTTGCGAAAAGCTGATACTAGTCAGTTGTTATCCATTGTTGAAATTTGTTTGAATATTGTAAAATCTCGTTTTAATCTTAATACTCGACAAAAGAATCGTTTATTACCACATGCGGAATTTATTCGTAAAATGAGTCGTGCTAGGAGTGAACGGGGAGTAAGAAAAGTTTTGAGGCAAAAAGGTGGAGGAATAGGAGTATTTGCTGCTCTTATCACTCCTGTTCTAATGGAACTAGCTCGAGCAATTAGTATAAAAGCCTATCAAAATAATTCAAATCAACCATAAATTTAAAAATAATGGCAAAAAAATTAATTCTTGTTCCAGAAGAGATTTATAGAGGGCTTACTTCAAATAATTATGGGGACCCAAATTTAGATTTCACAAAGAGGGCGGTGGAGAAAGCTAAAAGTAAAAAAGAAAACCTCTCTGCCAAAAATATTCATTACAACCAAGAACTTAGACGATATCTGAAACTTAGGAATGAGAGTGAGAACAAACCTGTTAGAGTTGAAATGGTAGCTAACCCCAAAGGAGCAATTATGAATAGAGATGTTATCAGACCCGCAACAAATATTACAGACGATAACGATGATTTATGGATGAGCGATGACTTTTCTTATTCTGCGTACCCACAAGAGCCGCCAGCCTTATCATATAATATTGTTCCTCCTCTGTCAAATTCTTCAAACGAGCAAACAGGCCCCGCAACTCGACGTAGAAACTTATTAAGAGATGGAATTTCTCCCACTCCTCCTACACTTAGACAAAAAATCAAGAGAAAAATTGGGGAGGATGATTATAGGCAAAATAAAAGACGACATTTAAGTAATTATAAAAATGAGGCGAGAGATGAGTATATGAAACTTTCTGAAAAGGCTAGGAATAGGATGCAAAAATTAGAAAGGAAAAAGATGTTGAAAAATTGGAGAATTCCCTATACCCCTGAATATAACACAAATATCCCGGTTGATGATGATGATTTTCCTCCATCTCCTCCCAACCCAATTCTCCATACTATTCCTGAAGGTATTGATGCTCCCCTTGTATCAGACCCTCCTCCAACCAGACAAATTACAAAAAGGGGACAGTCAGAAGAGTTTGAAGGTACAAAGAGGTGGAAAAAAGGATATAATGAACATGGAGAAGCAAAATTAAGACGTGAACAGAAAAGAAGGGAATATTTACAAAGGAAAAGTAATATTCGAGAACAAAGGGTTCCCATTGACCAATCAGCGTTAGTTAAAACTCGTAAGGAAGATGATATTCAAAGACGTCTAAAATTAAAAAGAAAATGGGAAGGTCCAGATGAAAGTCCTCTAATTGCCTTGAAAAAAGTAAAACCTGTCACAAAAACCCAATCAGCAAAAGCCGGTAGAGAATGGATGCTAAGACTTATAAAGGCGAAACGTAAAGAAGCTGGTATAAAAAGATTTAAGCCAACACTTTGGTAAAAATGGCAGACCCCACACAGCTATTACATCGACTTTACAATGATCCAGATTCACCTGCTGCCTTTTCCGGAGTTGATAGGTTATGGTATGAGGCACGTAAAATTCTCAAACATTTACCCAAAAAAGTTGTTCAGGATTATTTGGAGGGGCACAGGACTTATACGCTTATGCGGCCAAAAAGAATCCATTTTAAAAGAGCAAAAACTGTAGCGGCTGGTTTTATGACCGATGTACAAGTAGATCTGGCTGACATGCAGGCTCTCTCCAGACATAACAAAGGAAATAAGTATATTCTCCTAGGTGTTGATGTTCTCTCTAAACGACTCTTTGGTGTACCAGTCAAGTCAAAGAGCTCAAAGGATATGTTAGAGGCATTTAAGCAACTAATTGGTCAAATGCCCATGAAACCTCATAGGATTTTCTCTGATAAGGGGTTGGAATTTAAAAATAAAACTGTGAAAGAATATTTTGATCAAGAGGAGATACAAAAATTAGAGGCTACTCATTCAACTGTAAAAGCTGCTGTAGCTGAAAGGGCTATAAGAAATGTAAAGCAAAGACTTTATAGATACTTTGCTCAAAATAAGTCGCTCAATTGGATTGATATTCTGGAAAAAATTTTAAATGGAATAAATAAATCAAGGAGTAGAGTACATGGAATGCGACCAATAGACATTGATTTTTCCAATGCTCAAGAAGTGTGGGAGAGAATGTACGGTAATGAGTTTTCGTCAGTCGTTAAAAAAAGTAAACAAAAACTTGAAGAGGGAGATTTTGTTCGCATGAGTATTGGCAAGGGTGCTTTTGAAAAAGGATATATTCCAAATTGGGGAGACCAAATTGTGCGAGTGGATAAAGTTCAGGATCAATTTTATCCTGTCCGATATAAAATTATTAATGATGATGGAAACAAGTTTAAAGGGTATTACTATCGAGAGGAGTTGGCACGTGTGAGAAAGGATGCAGATACAGAATATAGGATAGAAAAAGTTTTGAGAAAGAAAAAGAGAGCAGATGGGACATATGATATTCTAGTAAAATTTATTGGATATCCCGAAAGGGAGTGGATTCATGAAACCCAACTAGTATAAAAGCTCATTTAATTGTTCATTATTTAATTTTTGATAAAAATGTCGAATAGTTTTTATGTTTGTTTATTGAGCAATGTACCTGACTACCCCGATAACCAACCAAATAAATTTAGGGTTCACTTACCTAAACCTCTTTATTTCTCTGGTGATTGGGTATGTGGTGTCCATAGTATCAGTTATCCATATTCATGGTCTTCAACCATTGGTACACTTGATGAGCAATGGATAAAAATTCACTTTATTGATGAAAATTCGAAGAAAAATGTTATCAGAATACCCGTTCCTGCAGCTTCTCACATTAATGTTGAAGCTCTTGAAAATTATTTGGCAACTACACTCAAACATCAGGCAGATTCTATAGGTTCTCTTGATAAAACAGGCGGATTTATTCAACCACCTTCAGTCCTTGGTTCACCTCCTCGAGCTGAA